AAAAAAAAAAAAAAAAAAAAAAGAGTATCTAAGATATATAACAACCTAAAATTATTGAGAGGGAGTTAAATAGAGTTAAATGTGGCACAACAAAAATTGATTTATACCAACTTTTATATAGAGTTATATAAAAGTTGAGAGAGATTTATATAGAGTTATCTGTACCTTTTGAAAAACTAATTTTTTTCTTCAAAAAGAAAATCTACGTTTAAAATATTTGTCTAACATGTAGAACTAAACTTAATTTAATTTTAACATGAATTTTATATTCTTGCTACTTCTAGAATAGTATTAACGTAGTCTTTTTAGAACCCGTGAATTGTAATTTTGTTACAACATAGATGCATAGTTCTTTACTAATTTACTGAAAATAATTACTATATTTTTTCTTATTAATTAGAGTAATAGCACAATTTATATTTTCTCAACGAGAAAAAAAAAAGGCATCTTTTGTCGGTTAGTTGACTTTATTTGTATTTTTTTTGTAATAAACTTAAGAATATGTAACTTTTCAAATAAAATTTTTCGGAATAATTTAAATATCCAAGAGTTAATGTGTTCTTGCTAAAACTAAAAATGAAGTATAACTTGTGAAATTGAAGTAATGATATTCTAAAATTTGTAAGGATTTTTAAGTTGAATATATTGACTGACATGATTGAGGCTTATATGGGGTATAGTTTTTCTATTTATTGTGTTAGCTAGATAAGTTCAACAATTCCTTTCAAGAACTTATATTTTTTCTATAATTTTTATCTTATCACTCAAACATAATTTCTAATAGAATATTTATGTAATATTTTAATAGTTCATATTCATCGATATAGCATTCACGCGCAATCGTTCGTCATTTTACCATTTAAAATTAGCTTTCATATTGGACAAAATAGTAATATAAGTTAGTTTCCTAAATTTAGAAATAGTCATTTAATTATTTTCTTAATATTTAGAATAATCACTAGAGTAATTATTTTTCTAATATTTAGGATTTTGATCTAAAAAATCATGTTATTTAATTGGAATACTTCATATAAACTTTATTTAGATTTAAGGTATTGAATTTCAAGAATTCACGAATATTTTTTTAATATTAGGTTTAGGACAATTTTATTTTCGTTATAAAAGTTTGGTTTAGTAGTCCTTATTTTCTTATTTTTTTTAGTATACTTTTAGGAGTACTTTTTCAACGTTTACGAGTATTTCTTTTAAATAATAAAATATGTTGAATTATTTTTCTTATATTTAAATAATATCAACTAAATTTTTTGTTATTAAATCATACTTGGGAGTAAAAACACATATCTAGCAATCACAGTCATAATAATCTCAATCAATTCCAATTATTTTAAAATTCAAGTATCAAGCTTAACTAAGAAAATAAAATTATAAAATTAGAACAACTTTTTGACTGAAGGCATTGACAAATTATTGAGAACTTCTATGGAGTAGTTTCTTCTTTTACTGAGTTAAGTACATAAGATCAACATTTATCATTTTTAGGAAAATAAACTTATATTTTATAGCTTAGACACAATATTTCAATATAATATCTATACGACTTTTTAGAATTCTTTTATCCATTAAGATATTATACACGCGCAATGCGCGTATCATAAGACTAGTATCTACAAAATGCTAAACATGTACTTTTTTTATTACCTTGGGGTCATAAACATTTTGTTATACAATGCAAAAACTGTTAGTATATACTAATAAGGTATATAAAAATAGTTCTGGCAGGTAAATATTTTAGGCCGCCTAAATAATTAAGCAAGATAAACTTCTTTAATAATTAGAAGTCTTAAACTTCTTAAATAATTAGAAGTCGTTGTATTCGTGGGTTAGCTTAGTAGTAATTTTGGTTCAAATCTTATATTTATTTAAAAAAATTCATTGAATATATATAAATTATTAGTCAAGAACATAGCTTAAAAAATTATAATTCCGAACTCTAAATCCTACCTCGCCTCTGTATGTACTAATTTTTTGTTCCACCATGCTAACTACGTTAGACAGGGGACTTGAGTAGAGAAAGAACGTTATAAGCCGCAATTAGCGGAGAATAGAGGCAACAAAAAATGGGATCCACACATGCATTGCACCTACTTAACGCTTTGCTGTTTCCATGTGCACGCTAAATATGATCACGCTCTCCACCCACTATATATTACTACTACTATTATTATTCATCATAGTGTCAGATTTATAACAATTTTCCGTTGGCTTAATTTTTAGAGAATTTTTCATAGTAATTAGTCATTTATAGATACTATTTGCTATATTATGAATTATAGATACTTTTTTGTGGCTATAAGATGTATTTAATGTATTTAAGCTATTGTATTCATGAATACAGTAGCAAAAATAGGTGTGAATCAGGGAAGTCTAGCTAATCAGTTGTTGTATTCGAGTGTATTCGACTATATTCATGGAGTAAAAAAATATGGGATTACAACTGGACAGATTATTGTATTCGACCCTATTTACCGAGTGAAATAGGGGATTACATTGTTTTAAAACGGAAAGTGAATCAATTAACATAACAGACTCCTAATATAACTCAACAAACTCAATTATAACACACAAATTTTGTATTTTCAGTTGTAAAAAAAATTCTCAACCGAAAAATACACCAAAAACATAGCAACCTTCAGAGAAATTATATAATACATTTTAATACATAAATTATATTAATAAAAAAAACATATGAATACATTCATGGCATATAGCGAGACAGTGAATACAATGAAATACATAGAATACAACGGAATACATTGAAATATAATGGAAAAAAAGAGTGAATATAATGAGATACATGGAATACAACGAGGTACATTGAATTACAATGGAAAAAAAAATAATGACATACATGAAAATACATTGAAATATATTAACAGAAAATCAAGTTGCTTAGCCCCAAACTACGTCGTCTTTGTTCAAGAACAAACCTTAATTTCCGGCGAATCTACCGTCAAGTAAAAACCCCGAATCTTACCAAAAAGGCCCTTCGTATTCAATCAAGTGCCCTTCGTATTTTAGGAAACCCAATTGGGAGCCCTTCATAACATAAAATCAATAAGAAAAAGCAGAATAATAGACTTTTTGATAAATTGGCTATACTCTCTCAAAGGATAGTGATGCATGTGTCTGGTTTTATGGATTACTCATGCTACAATTTGTTATTTGGTACATC